CGTCTGCTCCTGCCTCCTCCCTGGGCTCCACGTCTGCTCCTGCCTCCTACCTCTCAGCTCCTGCGGCCCTGTCTGGAGTGGGGGTGTCACCAGGTCGACCTCATGACATTGGCTTATACAGTTGGGAGGTTCGGCCTCCTGAACGTTATTGGTTTCCGGGGTCTGTATGTTTTGGGACGTCAGGAGCCGTCCTTTAATGGGGGGGGGAGGGGGGGGTATATTATGTTTCGTCTAGGTTCATGTTTTTATTTTGACTTTATTCTGATTTTTCTGTCCTGTTCCTCTATTTTGTTCCTCTTGTCTGCCTTTGCTCTAGCCCCGCCCACTCACACCTGATCCTCATGTTTCTCTCCCAGGTGTTTCCTGTTTGTACTCATTAGTCTCGCCTTTAAATTCTGTCTTGTCTTCACTTCCCTGCTGGGTCATAGTTTGGGTATGTTCTGTATTGTGCCTTGTGCCACGCCACTCAGAGTTTTTTGAGCTGCCCAGTCAGCTCTTTTTTTTGTTAAATAAATACATTTTTTTTGGAACTTTTAATCTGCCTGCATCATGGGTTATTTCCTGCCTGAGAATCATAATACACGGTACTTGTTAAGGCCTCTTTGTATCAAATCTTTTTTTTTCTTAAAGTGATGACTGGGGCTTTTTATGTTGAATACAGATTTAAACCTAGCCTAATTCAAAGTTGTTAAAGAAATAAAACGGCTTTTTTTAAGAAATCACTTGCCACTTACCATGTCAATAGTTTAAACAAGGTTGCTGTATTTGTTAGTCACAGCATAACCGCTCAAATTTTAGCATGTTTGTCATAAAAAAACAAGGAAAGGACTGCGGTATAACATTCTTTGTATGTTTGGTTAAAACTGATTAGCTGTGGTGGCCATCTTGAATCAGATTGATCTTTGAAGGACACATGCTTTTAAATCATTTTTTCAAATTTAATTCAGTTGGGGTCTATATGAAGTGGATTTGCAATGCCTTGGTCTGAATTTCTCCTTATTGTAACTCCACAAGCCCCTCTTTGACCCTATTCTGAAGTGTGTCTCAAAGAAACTTATTTTGATGCTGTCTCTTTAAAACCAAATAAGGCGCAAAACTGTAGTTGGTTTGTCCAGACCTTAGTTCCGTTGCAAAAACTGTGAGGTAATGCTGTAGTTCAGAAAATGCCATAAAAACTAAACAAGGTGATAAATATAACACAAACACAATATAAGTATACACTCACCGGCCACTTTATTAGGTACACCTGTCCAACTGCTCGTTAACACTTAATTTCTAATCAGCCAATCACTTGGCGGCAACTCAGTGCATTTAGGCATGTAGACATGGTCAAGACAATCTCCTGCAGTTCAAACCGAGCATCAGTATGGGGAAGAAAGGTGATTTGAGTGCCTTTGAACGTGGCATGGTTGTTGGTGCCAGAAGGGCTGGTCTGAGTATTTCAGAAACTGCTGATCTACTGGGATTTTCACGCACAACCATCTCTAGGGTTTACAGAGAATGGTCCGAAAAAGAAAAAAACATCCAGTGAGCGGCAGTCCTGTGGGCGGAAATGCCTTGTTGATGCCAGAGGTCAGAGGAGAATGGGCAGACTGGTTCGAGCTGATAGAAAGGCAACAGTGACTCAAATAACCACCCGTTACAACCGAGGTAGGCAGAAGAGCATCTCTGAACACACAACATGTCGAACTTTGAGGCAGATGGGCTTCAGCAGCAGAAGACCACACCGGGTGCCACTCCTTTCAGCTAAGAACAGGAAGCTGAGGCTACAATTTGCACAAGCTCATCGAAATTGGACAAGAGAAGATTGGAAAAACGTTGCCTAGTCTGATGAGTCTCGATTTCTGCTGCGACATTCGGATGGTAGGGTCAGAATTTGGCGTCAACAACATGAAAGCATGGATCCATCCTGCCTTGTATCAACGGTTCAGGCTGCTGGTGGTGGTGTCATGGTGCGGGGAATCTTTTCTTGGCACTCTTTGGGCCCCTTGGTACCAATTGAGCATCGTTGCAACGCCACAGCCTACCTGAGTATTGTTGCTGACCATGTCCATCCCTTTATGACCACAATGTACCCAACATCTGATGGCTACTTTCAGCAGGATAATGCGCCATGTCATAAAGCTGGAATCATCTCAGACTGGTTTCTTGAACATGACAATGAGTTCACTGTACTCAAATGGCCTCCACAGTCACCAGATCTCAATCCAATAGAGCATCTTTGGGATGTGGTGGAACGGGAGATTCYCATCATGGATGTGCAGCCGACAAATCTGCGGCAACTGTGTGATGCCATCATGTCAATATGGACCAAAATCTCTGAGGAATGCTTCCAGCACSTTGTTGAATCTATGCCARGAAGAATTGAGGCAGTTRTGAAGGCAAAAGGGGGTCCAACCCGTTACTAGCGTGGTGTACCTAATAAAGTGGCCGGTGAGTATATGTGTGCAGCACCGAGGGAGACTAAGTTCAACATTTTTGCACTCCTAGAGACTCCAAGTACATGACAAAATGTATTTAGCAGCTAAAAAAATATTTTGAGTGATATATCTCCTTGAAAGTTAACACGTGGATCCATTGATTATTTTGAGTTTCGTTAAAACCCAATCACTAGATTGAGATATTTAGCGAACAAACAAGTAAAAAAGAAAAGAAAAAACTGCAAAGATTATGGCATGATGCTAATAGGCTAACTTATAAAAGTATCAGCTTAAATTGCATGATGCCACTGACCAGTGGTGTTTGTTGGACACTTGTTGTAGACCGTTTCACCAGCTGAGGCTCTCTTCCACGACATAGAAAGGAGGTGCTCATCTTTGCATATTTCATGAGGAGCTGTTGGTAAAAAGAAAAAGGCATTAAAGTCAAATGTACCACAATGCAGCAGACGTATGGAGAAATGAAAATCACCACAAAGTGACACACACGCAAAAAGCGGAGGGGGAGGGCTGAAAGAAAAGCCCACAAAAAACATGATTCAAATCTGTTCTCTCCTGCAGCAGCTCCCAATCTGATTTCTTTGTACATTCCTCAGTGCTCTCTGTCAGTGGCATTGCCTCAGTGCAGTATCTCATTCCCTCTTCATCTCATTCCTCTTTTTTTATTCATATGCCCCCCCGCCCCCGCCCTTTCCTTCGTAACCCTGATGAAAAAAATAGAGGCGAACACTCTGAAGATAATCCAAAGGGGTAGGGGTGGGGGGTGGCAGATGCAGAGAGTTGAAGAGGGACAGAGAGCAAAGAGCAGAGACAGACAGGAGCGAAAAGATGATATTTTGTTCCCCTGCAACACCAACAGACGGAGATCCTCGTCTTGTGTAAAAAGAGACTTGAGAGCTGCTTAAACAAAGAGGTCATGTTGGAGACGCCACTCAGAAGTTTATCGCTTGTAGCCCCCCTTTAAAGCTCAAAGCAAGCGAGCGCACATGTGGCACTCGAGTGTCAGCTGAAAAATACACATGCATATTCACACAGCTCCAGTCGAGACACTGGCAAACAGAACTGAGCGAGCGGACCACTGAACATCGTTGTCCACAAGCAGGGAGGGAAAACACTGAAGCAACGACAGCTACGGTGCAGAAGGGAAGTGCATTAAACACAGCTAAAGAGGATGCATAAAACAAAACAAAACAAAAAAAAAACAAGAAAGAAACAGTAACTCAGAGGTAAACTGGATAAAAAGACAGCACCACAAACCAAGGGCTTGTAAAATCAACAAGGAAGGTAAAGATGGATGTGAATGGTGGGAAACAACGATGAAAAGATGAGTGTGGTGAAAATTGTGATGGAAGCCGTCAGCGGAGGTGCAAACCACAGGGAATCCCTTTCTGCCTGACAAACACTATGGATGTGCAAATAGTGTCATTTATTTTACAGAAACACTTATATGAGATGAATACAATATGGAAAGGAAGTGAAAATTGGTTTGTGCACTCTATGAACATAAAACAAAGGGTTCCCAAACTTGTCCATCCGGAATACCCACCCCTGCAAACCTACAAACAATGCTGCAAAATATGTAAAAAATGTTTTTTTCTCACTTCTATTCACTAATCAGTATTTTTTACATTTGTTTATCATGAGTATTTTATCATCCAACATGTTTAAACACTATTATACGCTTAATTTAACACCAACCCGTGTTTAATATTCAACAATTCTTGGTGTCACATTAACATAAAAATAGTGTTAGTGTTAAAATATAGTGTTAACAGTAACACCAGCCAGCGTTTAATGTTCAACAATACTGGGTGTCATATTCACATTTCAACAGTGTAAAAATACAGTTTTAAAAGTAACATCAGTGAATTAATATTAACAAAGGAAATTGTGGTGTTTGAAAGGTTAACAGACACCACAAGGTGTCAATACACCATCAAATTGAGAGTGTAAAATTAACACTCAGAGTTAATTTCAAAGTCTTTGGAGTGTTGCATTAACACTCACTGGTAAAGTAAAATGGAGTCACCCTTCTTCACACACCAGGAAGTACCTCTCACTCATGGTGTCGATTTTTAGCCAATAACATAAACTTAAAGTTGAACAACTTGATCAAACTGAACAAGAAAACTAAACAGAACAACTAATTTTTACTCTCATGAACATCTTTAATGGTCAAAAACATGCAAAAACATCATTTCTGCAAGATTTCTCAGCAAGGAATGCTGGGTAAATACTGGTCTGTCTGACATGAGGTGGAAGAGGGCGGGGCTTTTCAGAAAACTTCTTTCAACACTGCATGGTGTTATATAGCTACACTGTTAAGTGTTGTATAAGACTTAACTGTGGGCGGAGCTTATTTAACACTGTCCAGTGTTGAGACAACACTGAGGAAATCAACACTGTGAATTAACACCAACACTGGGTGTGAGTGTACTCAGAAAGTGTTAAAATAACACTAGGAGGTGTTAAATTAACACTCAAAAGTTTAACACTGACATTTTAACATTCATGTGAAGTTCACTGACCAGGGCACTTTTTCTCATTACAAGGCCGGACCTCCTCTTCCGAGCCATCACAGGGGTTCCCTTGCGCTCCGGTGCCCTCACACGTCCTGAAGCGTCGCTGCAACCCAGAGTCACACGTCTTGCTGCAGAGACTCCAGTGGTTCCAGCTGCCCCAGTTATCTCCACCTGGTTGCAAGAACAACGCATCACCAGGAAAGATCAGGGAAAGAGGGTCAGAACTGGGGTATGAGAAATGAATTAGCATTGTGTTCTGGGGAAAAAAAATGAGAGCAGATGGTGATAAATAGTCATTTTGACACAATATATTTCTTTTTTAAAATTACATAAAATTACTATTTTAAGAGGTAATTTAGAAACTAAGCCCAGAGCCTAAAATTAAGCTCAGTGTGGGCCCTAGACTCATTAAAAATCCAAGTTTTATTTTTGTCCTTTGGGGTTTTTGCTGAAAAGAAACTTGCTAAATTAGGTCTCTACTCAAAATTACTCATACGTGAATTATAGACGAGCGTGAGCACGTCTTTAGATAATGAAAGGTCTTTGTCTGCATAATGCTGTTTGTAAGTTGGCATGTGAGTGTGGACGCCGAACACTCATTTACCGCTGCAGGAAGGGTTGGTGCAGTCCCTGCTCTCCTGATGGGACCCTTTGCACTCGGCCCAGCCGTGCACCGACGCGCTGCAGCGCCTCTGCCTCTGCTGGGTCCCCGTGTTACAAGTCACGCTGCACTTCGACCAGTCCCCCCACTCCAGCCACTGGCCCTCCACTGTACGAAAAGCAGGAGAGAGATGGAGGTGGACAACAGGAATCAGACAGGATGAACGGTGACGGCAGTGGGGAGATAGGGTGGAAATCAGGGTAATGTGATTCAGAGTTTTAGAAGAAAGGGGAGGATATGTGAGTGAAAGGGAGAGAGACAAGACAAAGTGAGCAGGCTACAAGAAAACATACTCCAGGTTAGGGTGAAGAATAAATACATTTGAGCTGATTTATTCGGTCTTGCATAAATAGAAACAGCAAATATAACACACTTTGTGGGTTTATGGAAATTCTAAATGTTTCAGTCTCTTACGAAAGAGGTGGTTACAAAATCTCTGTCTGACTCATTTGAAAGAGTTCACACAGAGTGCGTTCAGCCGAACATTCCTTGATTTTGATCTTAAACAAGACACCACACTGAAACTCTTGACGGATGCTGAATAATAGAAAAGCCTGGGTAATGGCAACAATTATATATAAATGCAATGCACTTTTACATGTTTGACAATGAGCAAAAAACCCAAACTTACTGAAGGCAACAACCTCAATTCCAGCAAAGTTTGGATGTTGTGTAAAACATAAATAAAAAATAGACAACACATTCTCATGCCCTCCGCGTCAACATATTGACGCTTGGTTGGGTAGCAGTTTGCGTCAACTTTTGGATGTACCGGGTAGCCCCCACGCATCCGTTCTTTACTAGATGAGGCGAAAGAAGATGAGTGCATTGTCAGATTTTTTTAGAAGAGTAGGAAATGTGCGAAACTAACTATCCCAGACCCTAAATTTAACTTCTATTAGCCTTATACAGCCTATCCCTGACCACAGACCCTAAAAATGAACCATTAACCCTGATCCCTCATATTAACCATTTTTTAAATGTAGAGAATTTGCAAGAACTAACCATCCCAGAGCCTAAATTTAACCTATATTAGCTATTTACAGCCTACCCCTGACCCCAGTATCTCAAATTAACCATTAACACTAATCCCTCATATTAATCTCAGACCTAGTGCTGGGCGGTATACCGTTTTGTACCGAATACCGTTTTTTATTTTTATAATGAAATTAATTTTCTGAATACCAGACATTCCGGTTTAAATAGCGGAACGTTTCTTAGCGGCCGCCAGTGAACTGTTGTTTCCCGGGGGACATTTTTCCTTGCTGCACCGCTATGTGCATTAGCATGCTAATGTTTGGAGCAGCTAGTTGCAGCCGCGGGTGGCGATTCCGCTGCTTATATTGACTGATGTTTAAAAAAAAACATCCCGTTTTCGCCGTCGCTGAATGTAATAAACACCTCTTCAGTGACGTGCACAGTTAGATTTAACGTGGTTAGTTAATATGGAGACGTTATGCTGATGGAGACTTAACGTGGTTTTATTGTGAAAAGCCTGCAGGAAGTAGTTCGTAGTGGAGTTGGAATTGACTGGTGTGTAAGGTGAGTCGTGCTGATAAGCTTTAATAAATAACATAAAACAATAAACCTGATCACAATCTTTTCTTAACCCTCCTCCTTCACGACTGGACCAAAATGCGTGACTACTGTCTCCAACCACCAGTCAGAGAAGAACAGACAGAGGAGGGAAACAGCGACACAGACAGAGGTACAGTAAAAGAAAAAAAGTCAATAAGCAAGCATACATGTCAACCTCTTCGGACGTTTACCTGTATAAAAAGCCTCAAAAATCCGTACAACTCGCACGGGGGGCGGCTGCGGACATGAAAGCGCCCGTTGAGCAGCAGGAGGAGAGGAGAGCGGAAAAAATTCAAAACTTATTTCTAGCGGCAGAATAGGTTAAAAGATGGCTGTCTTATGTTGTTTATTGTTTTTTTTTTAATCATCCTACAGGTTCTGACATGTTAGATAAATTAGAAAATCAGGTTTTGAAAAAATCCGTAAGACTTGAAAAGATCTGTGAAATTGCTCTATACGTCCGTGTACCTGCAAAATGACGTAAAATCCTTATAACTTACGGACAATCCGTACAAGTTGACATGTATGAGCAGGGTTTGTACATTTTATTATCAGCTGAGCTGTGATGAAAAGAAAAATACCGTCAAATACAGTGAAACCGGTGAAAATGTTGAAAATACCATGATGTAAAATTTTGATCATATCGCCCAGCCCTACTCAGACCCCCAACCCAAAGACCACTAAGTAATGCAACCCGGAAAAGCCGTGGGCGGCAAGAACGGACGCATGAAGGGTACCCGATGCATCAAAACTGGACGCAGATGGTCCCTGCCCAAGCGTCAATATGTTGATGAGTCCGACATGAGAATGTGTTAAAATAGAATGATGATTTTCAAATCATTTTCAACCAATATCCAATTGAAGACACTACAAAGATGATTTATTTAATTATCAAACATTTATTATTATTATTATTATTATTATTATTATTATTATTATTATTATTATTATTATTGCAAATATTCACTCATTCTGAATTTGTGCTGCAACATATTCCAAAAAGCTGGGACAGGGGTATGTTTACCACTGTGTTACATGACATTTCCTTTTAATATCACTCAGTATGTGTTTGGGCACTGAGGACACCAATTGCTGAAGCTTTATGGGTGGATTTCTTTCACGTTTTTGCTCAATGTACAACTTCAGTTGCTAAACAGTCCAGGGTCTCTGTTGTCCTATTTTGTGCTTCAGAACATGCCACACATTTTTATTGGGAGGCAGGTTTGGATTGCAGGCAGGTCAGTATGGTACCCATCCTCTACTACAAAGCCATAATGTTGTAACACATGCAGGATGTGTCTTAGCATTGTCTTGCTGAAATAAGCAGGATGTTTCTGAAAAAGACGTAGCTTGGACGGCAGCAGATGTTGCTCCAAAACCTCTATGTACCTTTCAGCATTAATGGTAACTTCCATGGAGTGACAGTTGCCAATGCCATAGACACTAATACACCCCCTTACCATCAGAGATGCTGGCTTTTGAACTGTGTGCTGATAGCAATCAGGACAGTCCTTTTCATCTGTGACCAGGACCACAACACCCATGATTTCAAAACCAATTTGAAGTGTGGACTCATCAGACTACAGGACACTTTTGTCAATTAGCCTGTTCACCTGTGGAATGCTCACAACAGGTGGTTTTGTTTGTCATTTATTTCCCCGTCCTATGTTATTTTTTTGCAATGTGTTGCAGGCATCAAACACAAAATGCTATTTAAAAAATAATAAATGTATCAGTATGAGCATTAAATATCTTGCCTTTGCAGTTTATTCAGTTGCATATAGGTTGAAAAAGATGTGCATTGTACTATATTATTAATGTTTACACCATGCCCAAAAATCACTGGAATATGAATTATACATGTGTATTTTAAACTTCCACTTTGTTTTTAATTAGGGTGTTGGCAAGAGAAATGTTGCTTAATACATTGTATTCCCTAATAAAAGGCCTAAAACACAAACGAGTCAAAACGCTTATAAAATTTAGTTGTGACATTGCTTATAACATAATTGTCTTGTGTAATCGGAAGCCATAAGTAACTAGCTGATCCCTAAAGAGAACGTCACAAGTACTAGCAAACAAACTGGGGGTCATGGTAAGGTCTGAGACATTGTTTTGGAGACCATTCCACAATAACTGTAAGAGTAAGTGAAGAATAAAAACATGCACACAATAAACCATAATTGGTAGAGATTCTTGAACAGATAAAGGAATTATCAGCAAAAAGTTGACCTATGTAAAGAAACATTGCTGCATTGCTTACACCAGTGGTTCCCAAACTTTTTATCTTCTGACCCACAATATAACCATGGCAAAAATTTGTGACCCCAAATATTACTGGTCTGAGTACATGAACATTGTTAATAACCCTGAAAACACAGACTTTTTGACAATCTAACCAGCTTGTACACAAATAGAAATACTTATTTATACTTATTTTGTGTTTTTGTAATAATTATAGGGAAAATATTACATCATCAATTATTTTATTGTCCTTTTAATTGATTTCTGGAGATTATCCAAGGTGCTTCATGACCCATAATTGGGTCCCAAGCCCAACTTTGGGAACCAAAGTGCAATGGTTCCCAAACGTTTCAGCTTTTGGCCCACAAAAAAACAATAACAGAGACCTGTGCCCAACTATGTTTGGATGATAAACATTTGTGTCAGGTCAACAAAACATGAGCATAGTAACAATATTTTTATACTACATTAATCCATTTTAAATACACTAACCTCACTCCTTTGTAACAACTAAGGCAAAAATGTAATTAATTCAGAAAATATTTTCAGGACCCCACCTTGATGTTTTGGGACCCCACTTTGGGTCCCGACCCCAACTTTGGGAAACACTGGTTTACACTTTACTTGTATAGGGAATATTCTAGTGATAGAAAGAGAAAGAGCTGCATGTAAAAAAAAAAAAAAAAACTTATAAATGGTTTGCTCAAAACAGTAAAGCCTGCTCTCCTTTGTAATATCACCAATCACGCTGTGTGCAACTTCTATGGAGTCACAATAGCTGATAGTGATTTGGATGAATCTGAGCTACAGCAGTAGTGCAATGTAAAGTAATGGGACACCAGAGAAGAGTAATCCAGAAAAAAAATGCAACATCTCAAATGTCATTATATAAAAATAATAAATAAATAAATAAATAAATAAATTAAAAAAAAAACTATCGAAGACAACTCAGGAGAGTTCCATCAGGCAGCAGGAGTGCACAACTCTTGCTGATTGGTAATCGAATAATTAAATAAATTAAAGTCTAGAAAAACACTCAAATTGGATAATCAAATAATGGCTTTGAAAGTAATTTTCATTTCGTGGGTTGTTAAAATATAAGAGATAATAATTTTCCATCGCGTTGTGAGTCAGGAAATTTCAAACCACAGCAAATGACTGCAGGGAGAGCTTTAAAGAAATCTGCCATGTTCTCCCACATTCACATCTGATCTTAACAAAAGGTTGTTAAATACATTTTTTGTGTGTATCCCCCCCAACACACACACACACAAAAAAATGCACCAAATGCTTTTTATCACAGTCATGGTCAAGACAAAATAAACATTTCTGCTTTCAAAGTGCAAAACTGATCAAATGAACATTGAAGCCTTAGGTTGGATGAACTAGCCCTTGTCCAGAAGATGATAATTTCATAATTTCATTGTAATTATAGGTTAACATGGAAAATATTCCCCTGATACTGTAATAAAAAATAATGTCACAAAATAAAGACAATAATGATAAAATAATGTTTTTACAGGTTTAGAGCCTAAATTTTTTACCTTTGACATCACATTTTGAAATGGGCAATAAAATGAAAAAAATTTCAAGCACAAATATTTTGTCATTCTAAAATCTGGTCACATGTGCTCGTCCTGTTGTCAAAGAGGTTTTTGCAATAGTTCCTAAATTTGATTGTACCACTGTAGTCTAAAACATTTGTACACAGATTGCAGAGCTGGTCGGCAGCTGAATCACGCGGGTTAATGATCTGAATCCTCACACTAAATCAGGCAAATGTCCGCTAAATCCGCAAGATGGTGAACTCACTAAACAAGCACGTGAATCCTCAGAAATGTGAACTCCGATGAGATGGGTTACCGATTCAGATAAGAAACTCACTGGGAAAACAGCAGACTCAAATGAGTTGTTTTCATATATTTAACATAGGTTAACATTTTGGTTAACTTGCATTTAATTTGCACGTTTTACATTTTTGTGTAATTTTTGTTCCATCATTTGTAACGTTTGTTCATTGATGTGTGGGATTGATAAATATACATTGTATAATGCAAATGTGGATCCTTTAACATCCACCTCCATATTGTTATTATTATTTATTTATTTATTTAGGCAGGGGTTAGTGACTCGAGTGACTAAAGTAAACTGGATCACTTTAGTAAGTGACTCAGATTAACCCGATTCCATAATGTGAACCAAGTTACCAACATCTGATGGTTTGCAGTGAAAATAAATTTTTTGTACACACAACTGAACACATATACATGATCTATCAAAACTCTATTGCTCTATCTTTGCTGGCATTTGTGCCAAAAGGCTTATTTTAATATGTATCGTTTCAAGGGATAAATGCTTTGGAACTCCTAAAAAAAAAAAAACAGGCTGAGGCAGTTGTGATACAGACAAATTTACACAAATTTCCTTAAGGCCCTTAAGGAAGAGGACACTTTGAACCAAACCTTCACTTCCTATCATCGTTCCAAAAAAACAGAAAGGCAAACCACCCTGAGGGCCAGATCTCAGGTTTTACCATCTCCCTATCTCTCGCTTTTTGAGAAACAACTTCGCAGCATCCTTGCGTAGCAATGGTGACAGTTTGATTTCATAAATATATTGACCTCATAAAAGCTCTACTTTGAAAACATAAAAACAGCAAAGAAAAAGATAGAAAATAACGTATTTAGAGAGAGAGAGAGAAAGAGAAAGAAAAACAATGACAGCAAACTATCTCAGATTTAGGTTCCTGCAGTCTTCACAGTAGAGTGAAAAGAAAATAAGTTTTTTTTTTTTGGCTTAATCTTACTAAATATAAAGCACTTAGTCTGTGATAATTTCTCAGGCTGTAAGTGATTACTAACCAAACCAACACACTCTCACTCAAACTGGAATCAAATTAAGAAAAAAATAATAATAATCAGAAAGCAGACACCACTTTTCTTATTAAAATGTCTGATGTTTTAATAACTTTGCATCCATTAACATCATTATTCCAGTGTAGAATCCATTTGCCTGACAACACAGGAAGGCAAAACAAATAAAAACGACTGAAATTAGTATTCTTTTGTAATTTGAATGCTTTTAGCCTTGATGGTATTTTTTCTAAAATTACGTAAGTTAAAAATATTAAAAGTGATCAGACATTATTCAGATGTATAGCTTAATTCTTATAGACGAGCATTCAGCTTAGGGTGATTCTAACTTTTCCCCATTCAAACTGGTATCTGAAAAGTTCCTGGTTGAAACACTGTTTTAATCTTCTTCCACTTTTTGGTGAATTAAGACTTTATCTTAACACCGTTGAGTCCAATCCCACTTTATCCTAATAACAGTGGACAGTTTATAACTGACTGGAACAAAGTCCTGTGGTACTCCCGACAGCAGAACCAAATGGATCTGTACAAGCAACCTATTGCTGTTCTCAACGATGTATAGACCTAATCTAAGGTACAGAACTGGAAGTGCTGGTCTGGTCAGCAATCTGAACTGAGCCAGACATGGAAAAAAAATTACAAATCTTATCTGTGTGCTTTGATAAGTTACAGTTTAATAGCTGAGTCAAAAAAAAAAAAAAAAAAAAAGAAAAATGTCCCACAGCATATGGAACAAATAAATAAATAAATAAAACAGTTACGTCACCAGTTAAGTCAGAGAAAAATTGCAGTATGTTACTGGTCTCCAGACTTAAAAATAAATAGTTGAGACAAAATGTTTTCTTAAAATGGTTAAGAAGAAAATCATTCAAACATGCATGCTATAAAGCACAATAATCATGCAATGCTTGTAAATTCCAAATTTGTGAAAATATTGTTACTTTTTATTATTCAAAGTGAAGGCCATGCGTTGGAGACGAAGAAATAAAAAAATAAATGCTTGGCGTATCATGGTAATGGGGATGGTACTAACCAGGACAAACGGCTATGTTGCAGGGTTTGGTCTGAATCTCAGGCCGTCCGCAAGGCACGGCCCCGCCTCCATCCATGCACTTCCTGGTTCGCGTCCTGGAGCCCCGCCCACAGGTCACAGAGCAAAGACTCCATGATGACCACTCCTCCCACTGCCCATGCACTGCAAATACCCATGAACATCACAGACACACAAATGAGGATGAGGAATGAGAAAGGAAGAGAGGGGGGAGGAGAGAGCATCCCATGGCAGGCAAAAAAAGGGTCAGAAAATGGGAGAGAACGAGAGATTTTATGATGAGCACATTCCTTAAAATACCTGATGGAGGTGGCCTTCTGACCTCCGGGATAAACTCCATTTACAAAGTGAAATGCTTTCTGAGTATGGGGCTGCACTTGTGTGTTATTACATGAAAGAAAACAAAGGATAACAATGGACAGTGGTATTTGAAGCCATGCGATTCTAACTCTTAGAGCAAAAGGGGACAAAACAGAAACTTGCCTGGAAATCATGAGAATAATCAGTCACCGTAGCATTAAAATGCATCAAATTGTCTTCCCTCTCTCTCCCCATTGTTGTTTATAGCTTCCCATTTTAGCAACAACAGAAGTTGAATTATATCAAAACTGAATAAATGAGCACGGGGGGGATGGAGAAGAAATGCAGATAAGCAACTTCAGATGCTGCGAGACTCAGTGACTCTGTTAGCAAGACTTTATCTTTTTGATCTGTGTTTTTGCTTTGCGGCACTCGCAGATTCTCGCATGCAAGAAAACAGACACACACACACACACACACACACATTTGTATGTACATATATCGTCATACATTTTAACTGTTAAACCACATAAGGACGACTGATTAAATTATAGCGAATAATCTTGGAAAAACTATTATTAGAGAATAAAAAAAGAACAATGTATCCCTGACAAAATTGCTCAATGACAAAGGATATTTGTAAGTGTGCAGAAGGGGGTGATGGAAAAAATATATATATATGTGTGACGATCTAAGAATTTAAAAGAAACACAGATGACACATAAGAAAAAAAAAGGTTTATAAAGTTTGAATAATAATAGTATGGTTAAAAAAAGTCTATAGAAGAGAACAGTTTGAAATATTTAAAACAAGACCAAAGGAAGCTGCAGTGGGATGGAAAGAAGCTGGAGAAAGAATAAAAATAAAGAGCAGATTTGGGGAAATGCTGGAGCGAGAAAGAAAGAGACAGAAAGCAGGATGTGGAAGGAGGAGGGGGGAGGGCCAAAGGGAGGGCTGGAGCGAGCAAGGAAAAAACTTAAGAGACAGGAGGATGGAGATTGCTGGTTCTGTGTTGAGCAAAGCTAAATAAATCATGGCAATAAATAATTAAAGCGGCTCTGTAAAGGAACGCTCTGAGGAGCAGCAGCAGAAGGCGGAGAGAAAGAGAGGATGACGGTATAAAAAAAAAGTTTGGAGATATGTTGGGCTGGTAAATAGTGTGGTGTCCTTAAAGTCAGAGAAACATGGAAGCAGCATGTCTCTGTGCTACTTAACCAAAATGCAGCATGCTGCAAAACATGTGGAGATCTTTGGAGAGCATTTGAGTTGCTTCAACTACGAATTTAATGAAATGCATTTTTCGTGGGCCCTGTTAAAGCAGAGCAGTTGAAAGTGTACACTTTTATAAATGTTGCTAATAAACTGGAACAGAGTAATGCACAAGAAGTGTTATGAAACCTCTTTGGTAATCTTTCATTTTTGAGAGAAGTAGTCAGCCTCAAGACTGACTAATGCTGGTGAACAATCTACACCTGTTCTTAGAATCTCTTACCAATTGAGTTCTTCTTAGAAAAAAACAACACCAGAGACAGGCCATGGCACTATTACATAACATTAGTGGCCATGTTACCCTGGAGGTCAATGAATCCAACCTTTGCCCCCACAAGTAAACCTTCTTCAAATGGCAAGTGCTTTATGATTGTGAAAACCTCCATACATCCATTATATTTTACCCATTTCTTCCTTTCAGGGTCACATGGGGTCATTGTGCAAACCTGTGCTCCCTAAATTAAAATTTGCATTTCTTGTGACTGGGTGTCTTGTTCACAAGTGAAGTCAAGTCAGAGCAGGAGATGGATGGATCAAGGCTTTGCCTGCAGTAATGAGGGATTTGCTCTGGTTGGTTGTAATGAAATAGGAGCTTAGCTGAAAGGCAAAGCTGTTGGTTTATTGGTGCATATACATTTCCAGCTCTCACCTATAGTTGTGAGATATGGCTCATTACCAAAATAACCCCAGGGATCCAAAATCAGAGTTTGGGTGAGGATCTCTGTTATCTGCGGGGTACAGCTGCTGCACATATTTTTTTGAAAGGAGTCAGCTGGTACAGTTCAAGCGTTTGATTAGGATGCCTACTGGGCACCTCCCTCTAGAAGTTTTCCGGGCAAGTTCCACTAAAAAAAAAAAAAGAACACAAGGCAACTCAAAACTCGCTGAAGGGATTATGTACCCTCTTAGGCTCAATAACCCCTTATAGGATCCCCCAGGAAGAGCTGAGGAGTAGGGCTGGCCCTAGCCAATTTGGCGCCCTAAGCAAAATTTTAGGTGGTGCCTCCTGTGCAATTTTCTAAATCTCACTGCCAATTTACAAACATTCACATACCAAAATTAATAGTTGATGTGTTTATCTTTAGAAACCTTTCATTTCAATAAAATAGTTAACATTAAATGTATTTGAAACAGAATACCAATATCCTTCCTCATACCTGTCAACATGTGCTTACAGCAATGCCGAACACCTGTTCATTTTAATGACCAGCTGTGTAGTAAAGCAGTTCAATGGGGTCCAGGGGTATACTCCCCCAGAACGTTTTGTAAAAGCTCTACTCAAAACTGTATTTTTCAGCAATTTGAAGATCATTTTACTCAATCCTTGGGATTACTAAAACAACTTAAATGCATTATAGGAAGGTAGAAGGGTGAAACAAGACCTTAACCTGAACTTTTTCTGAGATCATAATGGAAACTTCCATCATCCTTATTTTGTTCTCTGTTTACACACTGAGCACCATGAGTTAGTCTTGACTGCATCATATACTTTTATAACAAAATAAACTCTGCACTATATAACCCCTCGTGTAGTAACAAAGCATTCTGAGAAACCCACATAAAATGTTGCCTTTATTAACCTGAGTAACCAGTGATTATTCTACAAACAAAATCAACAATACTCTACTAGGGGTGCACCAATTGTAGTTTTCTGGCCAATCACCGATCTTGAGCTGCTGATTCCGATTTTGGACAATGTGTTATAAAGGTCACAATACACCTCCAATGTTTCAATCTTATTTTATTGAAAAACACTGAACAATACCCTTTGAACAATACAAACTTCTTTTAATTGGACATAAAACAATGCTTGCACCAGAGCAAAAGGGGACAGTGGCTGATTTTTAGACCTTTGCCAAGGTAGATAAAAAACCAATTTCTTTTCCATCGGACAATCTCCGATCTCCCAAAGGAAATAATTCACACCTATACTTTGCTACAAGTACTATACAATAACAAGTTATAATATATATACATATTGCCCCCCATTTTTGACATCTCCTGATGGATGACACCCTTAGCATTTTCCTATACGGCCTATGCCACAGGCTGGGGAATGGCATGTCTGGGTCTCTTTCCTGGACTTGACTCTGCAACCTGACAACAGATAAGCTAAAAAAAAAAAACAAATAAATGAATGGGTGAAGGTCTCGTAGGTGTCACAGATGTAAACTAAGCCTGACTTGACAGAGCAAAGTGACAATGCCTCTGTTAGTTGCTGTTGCTAATGTCAAATATCATATACAAATCAGTTGCACTGGTTCTAAATGGCCTTTTCTAGAAAAATCCCCCTTTTCACTGATAAAGAAATAATGGCACTGACAATAACCTGCTATAAAAAGATGCTGTAACTTTAAGCTTGTCAAAACCTTTCTTGTTTTTACTACTGAGTGTTTTAATGAGAGTGTGTTCCGGATGTTTTAGCACCTAACCTTTAATTTGAGAATAACACTGTTGACAAAGGTCAGTGTTTGTTTTCACAAAACACATCTCACATCCTGCTTTTGCTCATTAAACATTTTAAAACTCCACAGGGTAGCTCATAAGATGTTAGTTAGTCATCATTTATTCATTTGAATTGAATCCTCATCCCTCAAACTTCGAATAAGAGTATCTGAAGTCTGCTTGAAAGCTAATCAATCGCCCTATAAAATCACGCTTAAAGAAGCTTTTGGACTAAAAGGCTAAAAGAAACTATAATGAAATGTGGAACAAATAGAGAGGCAGATCAGAGAATATCCTGGTGAATTATGGGGTTAATGAATACAAATAATTGCCATCAAAAAATTGCTTTGATCAAAACAGAACACCAAAGAGGAGTTGGATTAAAAATTTGTGTTTTTTTTTTTTGCACCATATAAAAAGGAATTAAAAGGGCTGCATTGCCTCCAGGTACTGTATATCAAAAGGGTTACAGAGGAGAAAATATGTTTACAACATCAACAAAATGGAAAGGAAATAATAATAATAATAATAATAATAATAATAATAATAATAATAATAATGTAAAAACAACAGCTCTTGATCAAACGACAATATAACCATGTGATTCATAAAATTTGTAAAAATAGAAATATATCTAGTTCAGGAACTCAAGTTTTATTTGTTTATTTCTCTAAAAATCTGATGCAACATGCACTTTTCCAAAGTGCCACATCCACAATTACAGTATTCACTAAAATAAGTTTTAAAAATACGTCTTCCTTTTAAATATGTCTTAAAGGTGTGTAGGATTTGTTGTTTTCAGCGACACCTAGTGGTTGAATCATCCTCCCTGGTCCTCCCCCCACCCCCACCCCCCGCTTCCAAACACAAAGGAGTTGCTACGGTTTCTCTCAGGTGTCAAAAACCTTTGATAATTCCAACCGCGATGTCTACCAGCAGCTTCAGGGTAGTGATGTTTCAAGTGGTAAGATTATGAGCTTCAATAAGCAAAATTATCCCAGCTACAATGACAGACAACAAATATTACATTTATAGTATTACAACTAAAACCGTTTTTGACGCCGTCACCGCAGTTTGTCCTTCATGAGCCTTCGTAGACAAAATGGCGGCTGCCTGTAGAGGCGACCTGCGACCATGGAGATATAAACAGCTTTTTATAAGACAAAAATAATAAAAAAAGGTCTTTGTCTGCAATGATTAGACATGATTTTTTATTATTGTTATTAGTGATTATCTCAATTTCGGTTAAAAGAATTGACAAAATCCTACACACTGTGCCTTTTAAAGAAAACATAAATAAATATTTGCAGCATTTTAACACACTTGTGTGTTTCTCTTATTCCCTTCTGAATGTGCCCTCTGTAACTGGACTTATGCATTGACGTGGAGAATCACCACAGTTACAGTACCTGCATTTGCATTAGCCACAGAGCAGATCATAGGGACAGGAAGAAAATAAATAACTAAAATAGTGAGAAGTCTATATGCCTGTGTATGAGCCTGAATGCCATCCCAATGAATCTGTAATGAGTTCACCGCTGCATCTGTGGATACACCCTCAGTGTCTTGCTTGGATGATTACTGGAAGTGTGATCATATTACACCATTTAACTGTTCACTGACCCAGATGGACTGTAATCACCCAACCCAACCCGCATCCCACTTTAAATGCCACTGAATCTATGCTAAATGAGCGGTAGTTTAACAGAAGTTGTAAAACTAGTTCACACGCATGGTTGAAGCAGTTACATTTTATACCCTGTAACACGTAAACAAAAACAAATGGAAGTTACCTTGAAGAACCAACTACAGTTTAATTTGTTTTGTTCTGAGACAAAATAAGACTTAAAATTAATTATCGGCCTTGTATCAATTTAGAAGTTTTGCTCATGACATTGTGATGGTGAGTTCACACCGAACGCGATTTCAGCATCAGTAGCATCAGGTTTACATYCAAAGTCTATGGTGGACGCGCTTCAAGCAGCGTCGGGAAGTGCTGCGGCGCCTCAAGCGCGATTAGAGCAGCGCGATTTGAACGATCTGAGCGTTCGAGGCGCTGAGGCGCAAATCGTTGAAGTTAGAAAATCTGAACTTTTGCAGCTCGACGCGCCGCATCAACCAATCAGAGAGACTCTACTGTGTGACGTAGCGACATATTTCCTGACGGGACAGTTTACTGAATGATGTACACTAACCTGAAACAGACGGAGAGGAGCTCTTTAGCTGAAATCGAGTGCCTGCAGTCGGTGTCCTGACAGAGATATCCGCACCAATGCGTGGCAGCGACTCATCAGACTGGAAAAATAGTCCTGAAAGCGAGCTGTGAGCCTCTACTCTGAATTATCTGGTGAATTAATTATYAATTAATTATCTGATGAACGTGACATGCTCTTGCTCTCTGTAAATAAAGCAAAGCCACTTCCTCGTCCGTCATTAAACAGAGCCCGACAGAGGAGGGAGGGGCGGGGAGGCTCTTGCCGTGCAGCGCTGCTGACCTGCATCTGACCTCAAAATGCACGTGCGACCAACTTCAGCGTTGGCTGCGATTTTGAAGCTGAAATCGCGTTCGGTGTGAACGCAGCATAAGGAGACTTCTGTATTCCTGTTCACAATATGAGATACTGATGATTCCATACTTCTGACATTCCCATGCTCAGAATATGCACACAAGGTTTGTAAACAGATTTTTAGTAATTTGGTTACTTCATGTTGTTGCCTGAATTTGGGTCGTTTGAGCCATGATTATGATTCAACGATTTTACCTGGGCATGCCTAAATTATTGCAATGCACTCTAAACTGCTTTTTGGTAAACAGTGATCAAAGTGAGTGATAACAGCCTAGGAAACATGTTAGAAGAAGCAAAGAGACATTATGAGAATGGCTCATAACTAATTAATTTTAGTGGTGCAATGGTAGAGTTCAATGCCAATACCATGTGGCAAACATGTTAGATTTATTTGATAGGTAAAATGTGGTTTCAATCAATTTGGCATCAGATTTATTAGTGGTGATTAGTATATTTATAAATCCAAGTTACTCTGTGCTCATTATATTTCTTAATACTTCATGCAAAAAAATAGAAACAGCTTGATTCCGTGTTGAATTAATAAATAAACCAAGCTTGAAGATTCTGCCACATCTTTTACTTAAAAGTCCAACTGAATTACTTCAGAATGCACAGTCTTTTTGTTACTACCCGCACAGTCCTACTCTACTTAGATTTGGTGTGATCCCATTCAGGCAATCCCTGGAGTGCCCATAAACTCCCTTCAGAACCACGTCAGAAAACATCAGAGAAATGGAGGGCAAAATGAAATAATAAACAGAACATAACACGGCAACCAATATCCCATCAAAGGAGCAGCTGAGGATATTAATATAGACACGGAATGGAAAATGAGGCACTTAGACATACAAATCGGGCTGGTGCATTTGCATAAAGACAAGATTAGCATATGCACTGACAAGGAAGCAAAAATTTCCCCTCTCACTTCTTGTAGGGAGACAGTTAGATGAGGAAATGCACTCAACACACATGTGCAACTCCTAAATCCAACAAAAATGCAAGTTTAGAAAATTCAAACTTCATTATGAACATGCACAGAGCATCAAAAATGATTAGTGAAGGAATGACAGAACACATTAATCTAAGGGAAAAAAAAACATACTGGGAAGATACTGGTGTCTCAAATGAATGTATACGAGGATAAACCATCCAGAATTGATATGTGCACACAGACAAAGAAGTGGACATAAAAAAATTGTCAACGAATTACAAAGGTGCAAGACAAATGATTTTGTTTAGATTCATTTCAGTGAATATTTCATTGCAATGCAGTATTTTTAGGTCTCTGTAAATGTGATAGAGAATGTTGCATTTATACAACTGCCAACACCCCGCTAAAAAATGTCCTAAACAATGTACAAAGTTTCAACAATGGGTTTAGCACAAATATTTATTT